ATAAAACCTATAAGATTTGGAATGTTCTGCATATCCAATAAATATGCAGTCAATTCCTCTTTCACCTAAATTTTTCTTTTTAGGTTCGGGTAATTTTACAACTGCTCGATATCCCTAAATCCGAAAATAATTCAAATTTGGTGTTTTCTTGTGCCAAAGTTCATAAGGAGTAACTTTGTTCCGTTTATTAGGAACCCGATTTAGCACATAATTGGCTGTGAGCATAGCTTCACCCCAAAAGCCTTCACTTAAACCCGAAAAAGAAAAATCGAATTTACCATTTCTTTTAAAACTCGATTTTTCGTTCATCAACACCATTTTGTTGTGGATTGTAAGGAGCTGTGGTTTCATGAATAATTCCAACCGATTGAAAGTATTCGGAATCCATGTACTCTCCTCCCCTATTTATCCGAAGACATTTTACCCAACTGTAATTCGACTTCGGTTTTATATACTTTAAACTTTTCCAAAGCTTCATTTTTGGAATGTAACAAGTATACATAACAAAACTGACTTCAATCATCAATAAAGGTAACAATGTACTCTTTATTTCCCAAGGAAGGTGTAGCATGGAAATCACATAGATCACTATGAATCAATTCCAACAATTTGGATTTTCTATTAACATTTGGAAACGGTTGTTTCGTGATTTTAGTTAACATACAAGTTTTGCATTTTTCAGAATTAATGTTAAAAGCTGGAATCAATCTGGATTTTAACATTTCAATCATTCTTTTAATATGAACATGTCCTAATCTATTATGCCATAACATAGAGTTATCAAGATTAGATGCAGAAGTCATACAAGTATATTTGACATGTGATGCAAAACAACTTATAACATTTAACTTAAAAACACGATCACAATAATAACCAAATCCCACAAATATTCCACATTTAGACAACACATACTTGTTCGACTCGATCACTTGTTTATAACCCATACAATTCAACAAACAACTAGACACAAGGTTCTTTCGAACCTTTGGAACATACAATACATCAAACAAATTAATTGTTTTTCCAGAAGTAAACGTGATACTAACAACACCAGATCCTAAAATTGGCTTTGATCCTTCATCCGCAATGTGGAAGATAGAACCTTTATTTACTATGTTCAACTTCATGAACCACCGTTCATCATTACACACGTGATGTGTAGAACAGGTATCAAGCCACCATGAATCTGTATCAACCCCCTGTACAAAAGAAACTTCTGGAGTTAGTAGCATAACATTGAATACTGAACTTACAAGATCAATAGAAATTTGACCTTTGGTTGCAGATTGATCATGAGATCCACTGCCACCACCAGCACCATCTTTTCCACTATCACTTGCACCTTTATTTCCAAGTTTCACCTGACAGTCACTTTTCATATGCCCTTTCAGATGGCATCTCCAAGACACAAGTTCCTTGGAATCCTTGTATTTTTTGTTGGACTTCTTGTTGTGACCCTCATATTTACGTTTTTTACCGTTTCCCTTGTGATTAGAATTGTCTTCTTTATCACATTCAACCATATGATCTTGGGGCTGTCCAAAATCAGATTTGCCCTTTCCAGTTCCTTTGTCATTCTCTTGATCACGAAGTCCTTCTTCGATTTTCAAATGACTCCCAAGTTGAATCAAACTTATTTATTCCTTTCTATGTTTCAGATGGTGTTTGAAATCCTTCCATGAGGTATATTCGATTCACTTCTAATTTTGAATGAATAATCAATATACATCTCTTTCCCATTATTAAATCTTATGCTCATATGTTACATATGGTAGGTCAGAGATTGAATGTGGTCGTGTTTATGGGATAGATGATCAAATGAGAATATGATACCCATGTTCACCTGGTCCTCAGCATAACTCGTCACTCTCACATTTTACTCTCTACTCCCTCTCTCTATATATAGCAAGTAATTCTGGCATGTTTATTTTCAAAACAAAGCAATTAACTTCAAGCAAATACAGATGAAGGAAAAGCCAAGCATCCCTCAGAGATCCTCCGAACACTTCATTGGGATGCTTTTTATTAATGATTTCCTACTGAAGTGTTTGGGGGAACTTTAAAGGCTACTTGACACCAAAATAATAGAGTCTCACACATTGCTATTGCTGGTAAACGTTTCATCATGTGATCTTTTATGTAAATTAGCATATGCAGTTGCAATTGGTTAGCAATCTTTCTTAATGATTAATGCTTCACGCATATTATTAGCTTTAACACAACATGTTTCTTAGTAGGTGATTGGGTTTAAAGAAATTTTCTAAATTCATTACTTGAACAGCAATTACTTAAATCCATGAGTATTAAACGATAAATCATAGCTATTGTTGGTATTATGCAGGGGTAATAAGGACTTTTATTACCAAGATGGGAAACAAACGCAACAAAGGAATCTGCTCATGGACAAAACTTTGGCAGGTGACAGGAAACGGGTAAAACTGGAAATTACCAGTTTAACGAAACTGCATAATGAACAGGGAGACACAGGGGACAAGAAAGAGTAATAGAGATAAGAGTATGAGGCAACGTTTACTTTATTCACTGAAAACTCAACTGGGATACATCCAAAACATACACTTGCCTTTGCTTTTAAACTAGGATTCTGCTAAAAAACAGGAAACAACCTTGACTACAAACTAAAGACTAGGGACCACTCACTAGGTCACTTTGATTTATTCAAAACTAAAATTAAAACGTGCATGAAAAACATAAACAATTCAGAATTAGACTCAACATCTATGAATTAAGGATTTTGAAGCTTTGTCGTTTGTTATAGAATCCAGTTATCATTATTTCTTGTTGTTCCCTCCATCCCGTATTGAATGTGACTGTGTGCATGTGAGCCTTTATGTGCGTGTGTGATGTTTTCAATCATATGGTTGCAAAACAAAATAAATGGCTAATACCAACACTAAATGGGTTACCAAATATTTTAAATATATAAAAATTACATGTTAATATTTTATTATTTGTAGAAGCAAGAGAAGTCAATGTTTATTTCTTCTTTGTCACAATGACTCGTTATTGCAGGTTTGTAGGTTTAGAGGTTGCCTTTTCTTTTCAAGATTGTCAATGTTTTTATTTTCATTATTACCTTGGCCATAACTTTGTTTACAAATTTTCCACAACTTGTTTTAACATTTTTAAGAAACTGTTTTTGATTTTTTTTTTCGAAATTTGTTTAAGAAATTGATTGTTTTTACTAATTAATTTTTTTTATATACTCTTTTTATGCATATTTTTTAAGATATATTACAACTACTACATGTTTATTACAACTTTTTAATGAACTTTACATAAAACTAAACATGTCTTTTTTTATACTCTTTTTTTTTATCAGGTGATTCATCCCTCAATGGGTAATAATGGTTATATGTATACCCAAACTTACATCTTATAACATTATGTACTAATAACTTACATATCAATCCGTTTGTACTAATTGTTGTGACTATGTTGTAACTCTAGGCACCATTTTCTAAGACCTCAACTTGCACAAGTCACCAAGACTATATGGTCTAATATTTAATAGTAATGAGTAAGCAGGATCTAGTCAAATGTATATGCCATACTCACAACATAGAATTGTGATATATCACTTAGATAAGTGGTCAAATGTATATGAACATGATACATGGATATATTGAATCTCAAATGTTCAAGATTTTGTTTCCTCATACTAACTTGTATCAATCAAAAGAAAACTGCATAATTGATCCATCAATTCACTCCGAGCACGGCCATGCATTTTAATGTCAATACCAAATCATCGAGGGGAACAATGATATCTATTTTTATATTTTATTGGAGAAGCGAACAAATAAACTTCGACTAGAAAGATTCCGCCTCTTCCTCATGTCATATCTTGTCAAACCCTTTATGATTGCCATTTATGAACAACGTTTGGGGGAAACCAACGCAAAAAATGTTGTAAGAGAGAATCTCATGCATCTTGATTTGAAGGATATATGATATTACCATCTTAGAATTACTTGTAATCGAATCCATGGAGTAATCTGTAAGTGTGGGTAACTCCAATACCTTAAAATCTCCATTTAAGTACTCATGAGCATCGGTTCCAAAAAATTTTTGTGCATCGCCATGCACAATCTACCAATGCTCCATGACAATCTTAAAACACTACTTAGTTCCAAAATCAAGACCATGAATTTTGAATAACTTAATAGTCTATAAGTGGTTCTAAACATGCAAAAGTGGAACATAGTAATGACGGAAAGAAATGATTGATTTACAAGAGCTCTCAATTGGACAACCGATGATTGCGGTTCATGTTGCCTTGACACCAAGCACTGCAGCACCCGGTAGTCGATATGCTGGAACCCTCCTAGAATGTAATAAGTGCAACCTCCGTCATACCGAATAGTGCCGAACACTACTAGAAAAACAGCCTTTTAGGACGCTCATTGTGCGTCGTAAAACGCTCAGACAGCGTGCAACAGTGCGTCAAGAAAGGCCCTGTCATAAAGAGAGACGACGCGCATTTACGACGTGCGGTTCTGACACGCAATGCGTATCAAGGAAGGCCCAGTCATAAAGAAAGACGACACGCATTTGCGTGTTGTAACCTTACGACATCCGTGTTTATGACACACAATGCGTATCAAGGAAACCCCTGTCAAGAAAGGCCATGTCATAAATGAAGATGACACACATTTTTGCGTATCATAATTTTAAATGTTCAAAAAAATATATTTATATATTTATTAATTTTTAAATTAAATTTGCATTAAATATCTCATAATAGAAATAAAATATCATATACAAAAAATACAATCTATTGCATAAAATTTAATGTCATACAATTCTATTTTTTACAATATCTAAATTTGCATCTAATCTACTCTATACATCAAATTCCAACTAAGTAAAGTTGTATCTTACCTTTCATAATTTAAGACTAATACTCCAAGCAGCTGATTATATGGATAAGCAGTTGTACATTGGCCCATCTCACTCAAGAATGACTTAGCCAAATTCAACTCCAAGTCTTTACTGCATCTTGCTGATAATGCTGCAAGAACCATTTGTTAGCTCTACAACACTTTTTGAATATGAACCTTGTCTTTCATCACTAACACCAACACCTTTTGTAGCCCCTGGGACTATACATAAAAGTTAGAAAAAACAAATATTTCAAAAATACCCCTAGGACTCTTTTTGTCACAGAATCTGAATTAGACCACAAGTGATGCTTCGATTTCTTTGTTTCTTGCAACTTCAACATGAAGTGTTCTGATGTTGTATGTGTAAAGTTTCACACTTTACAGGAGATTCTTGGGGAAGGAAAGAAGGTTAAGCTTGAACAGAGGGTAATTTCATATCATATTCTTTTGTGTTTTAAGGGTTAAACAAATCATTTCAAGATTTGAAAATTATTAAAAAAACGTTATAATTGTAGAAAACAAATTGATAACCTCCTAAAATCTTGGGAGCTAAAATATATCCAACTAAAACAATGAAAATGTGATTTTGTTTTTGTTTTCAATGTTGTAGCAGTAGGAAGAGATGAAAGTTTGATATACTAAACAAATCACTAAAAGTAGGTTGCTATTGATACACTTCCAAAATGCAGCAACCTAAATTCACATCAATATTTGTTAAAGTTATAATGGGGTGGAGCAACTTCATATTTCAAATTGGAAAAACACATCACCAGACTCTGGCACAAGCCAATAGCATAGGGTGCCATCTCCTCTCCAAACTTGTCAACAATTGTCTCAAGTGTAAACACCAGACTTGCATTTTCAACTTCATCCATTAGCTTGAAAAAAAATCTGAAAACAAACCATGTGTTGTAATGTAAGCCATGAATCAGTACAACTTCTTTTTCTGCATATATACAACTGACTATGTAGCCACATGCTTCCATTTATATATTTATTTATTATAACATCATATATTCGTAGCTACTTTCATATCTTTTTAGTACATACAAGATTCTACTTCCAATCTTTCTGTTATGAGCATCTCCAATGGAAGGTTATTTTATAGCTTATTGCTATTTCAACAAGTCTTTGTTGACAATCGGAGTGGAAAACGTTTTTTGGTATTTTATCCAACCATTTCAGTAATTTTTTAAACTTAGTTATATTTGACTAATAAATCTATTTTGTTAAATATGCAAAATAAAATTGAACATTTTTTATATTAGAACTACATACATGATCAATATCAAATGGCATGTGCTCAAAAACAACAAATTAGATAAGGGATCTTTAAACAATATTTCAAATAGATGCGGATACACATGTAATTGTTAAAAAAAAAAAAAAAAAGGTTTTGCATTGGAGATGATATGTAAAGATAGTTTTTTTTAAATAAATTGTATATGCGTGAAAGAAAGAAAGAAAGCACAATATAAAAGAAGATCAGTTAAACTAGTTGTGCATTTTACCTTCGCAGGATTCAACAAAAGAACGCAATGCAAAAACAGAATCAACACGAACATGTTGTCCTGCAATCTTCTGGATCCATGGTGCTGCCCTGAGATGCACTGTCAGATTCCAGTTCATGATGGGTCCCACCGTTTTCTTCTTCCATACCATTTGCAACAACAACCTGACCATTGACAGTGGAGGAGCTGCCCGACATGCTTCTTGGCTTTTCCTGCTCTGTGTGGTGCTTCTCACCTGACCGTTCATGTTCCTCCAGGTGAACCAGAGCAGTATCATCTTCTTCAATGGTGGAATAACGAGTCATGTTTGGACGTAAATCACGAAACAAATCCTACACGTACATTCCTCTTCAATTATTAATACAACAATCTCTAAATAAGAAATAAAAGAAAGTGAGTTTAATTAAAAGACCAAACAACCAACTAACCTGCAAGTCAAATTCGATATCTAGAGGAAGTGGACCTTTGCAGAGTATGTAACGTTGATCACATTCAACAGCCCATATCATACATCCGGGTCGACGACGAGTTTGCCAAGATTAGACAGTTTTTTCATTGGATCCTTATATGAATTATGATGAGCAAACACGAAATCAAAATCAACAGGATGAGAATTAGAGCTCCTTATTGTGTTATCTCTCTTCTCTGAGCTTCTTTTGTTCGACGAAGGGAGGTCAGGGTCAGTGTTATCAATAGCGAGCATGGCGCTCGCTATAGCGTTTTGCGAGGCGAGGCGATCCATTGTCGCTATGGGATCCATAGCGATTGCATAGCGACGTAGCGAGCTGTTTGATTTTTTTTTTTTTTTTTTTTTAAAATATGGTATAAATAGACCCGTATTAGGGTTTTTAGTTGGCTAAGTCAAAGAAGCATCAAATACTCCAATAGTCTTTGGCATAGTTTAAAAAAACAGGAGAAACTTACACCTTAAGAGAGAAGACTGTTGAATCACGTAGTTGTTGAATGTGTTGTATTCGTGAGAGAGAAGACTTGAAGTCTTGGAAGTGTTTAATCTAACGAGAGAGAAGACTTGAAGACTTGAGGCAGGATAGGGATTGGGCGATAGGGTTTTTAATTTAATACTTGAAGACCTGAAGTCTTTAATCCAACGTGAGTTTGGTTTATCTAAGAGGAGACAACAAAAGCAGTAAAAGTATGGCCTAGTGTGGGCTACTAAACCAAAAGTATGGGCAGTAAAAATATGGTCTAGTGGGCTACTAAACCAGAAGCAGTAGAAAGTATGGGCTGTTAAACAAAAACCACACCTTTATAGCTGTTAAAAGATTTTCTATTAAAGAAATAAATATTCCTTAAAGAGTCAAAAGCATGGGTGTGTATATTATGTTTTTTTTAATATTCCTAAAAAGACTCTTTTGGGGTTTTTAGCTTATTTACTAGTTGTAATTGCTAATGGTTTTTAGCTTATTTATTAGTTATAATTGCTAATTAGGTGAAGGTAAAAGTAGTATTAATTTTTTAATAGGTATTCTCAGAAAATGAAATAGTTGTCGCTATTTCATCGCTATCGCTATATAGCATGTAAATAGGTTGTCGCTATGACCTCGCTATCGCCATCGATAACACTGGTCAGGGTGGTTCAGGCAGATCTACATAGGGTGGTTCAAACCTAAATACAATATGATGTATCTGTTTTTATTTTCCTTGTTATATTTTGTGTAAAGTCCTTTTATATATTTGGTTGTTTTTATAACTAAAAACTAATTGTATCATTCAGGCAACGGTTGCGTATTATCTGCTCTTTGATAACCAGTCTCGTGTTGCTGGTGGGTATCTTGGAGCTGAACTTGCAGAGAATCTGGTGCGTCATTTTCATTTTCCTGCTTACAGATTTGTAATATATTTTATGTTTATATAAAAAAAAAAGGAGCTTTGCGTCTGCATTGATGACAATGGCAAAAGGGTAATTTTAAAGATTAAATGCAAGAAATAAATAACATGGCAAAAAGGTAGATGGTTAGTGTCATAATTCTTTAAGCTAGATTTTTTTTTATTATTATGTCCAGATTAACTAAAAAAAGAAACAACCCCTAAGAAGAGTCTTGAAAGTGTAATGTTCTATTAAGAAACAAAGTTAAAGTAGAATGCTATAATCTGGTGCAAGAGGGTGATCTTGCTACCATGCATCTAGACAACATACCAGAAAGAGCTACAATGAACAGGTTTACTAGAAATAACTCTGTCAGGCCTACCTTACCTGGTGAAAGAAAATGGCAAGTTGGAATGCAGGTGTGCATAACGAAACTATGTATTTTACATTATATATATTAATATAGTCAATAGATAGTGTCATCCACAAGTTTTTTTTGGTTGATTTTTGAAGATTCCAGCAAATCCACGTGAGATAATGACACGAGTTCTTGAAGTCCTGAGAGATTTAAACGTCTGCTGGAAAAAAGATTGGGCTTTATTTAATATTTTTTAAATGATAGATTTGATCATAGGGTATAATTGTCATTTTACCAATATAAACATCATTTTAGCCTGAAAATTTCTCCATTTTTTCCTTTTCTTGACCATTACAACAGAGGAGCCTACTTGTTTCTACCATCCTATATAATGTACACACATAGCACTAAACAACAATGTGATGTAGTTAAAAGAACACCAAAGAAACAATTGTAACTTGTCTTTTGGGGTTTGTAGTAAATTTATAAAATTCCCTTTTCTTTTCTAAATTCATTTTCTGATTTTCATTCGTATATACATTTTAGGTACTTACTACACTTGATGCCAAAATATGGAGGGTAGTTTTTGGTGTTATAGACAAAATTTGGGCTAGTGGAGGTGTCTAGCTGACTTAGCTGATCGTCATCATGTAAGTTTTTTTATAAATATATATTTTTCATTAAAGATACTAATAGTTTAATAAATTTTATGATTTAGGTTTATTTAGGGTGAATGTTTGAAAGGTAATATTATCACTTTTTTGTCCTAAAAGAGTCAGTATTTGATATTTAAGAGTCAAATGTGTAACTTCATAAAAATTTACTAAACTTGCTCCATATAGATGTTGCTAAGCATGGAGATGTTTTTGAACCAGCTCTTTTCGCACTATTGATTAAATTGTAAAACAAGTATATGTCAGGTATGTACTAAAATATCCATATGTATATATATATATATATATATATATATATATAGATGTTGCTAAGCATGGAGAAGTTTTTGAACCACCTGCTGCTTCGTTTTCAATTTCAAGCTCGAGATTGAAAGAAGAAGAATAGGGAGAAGTAAGAAGGACACTGTTCATTGTCCCCATCGAGAACCTGCAACAGAACAAAAAAAATCTCGTTTTTTTTATTAAAACCGAGAACCAGCATTACATGTCACTACTTCTGATATATAAATTAACCATGGATTACTAAAAAATTAAACAGACCTGTTGCTCAAGTATTGCAAAATAAGGTTGGAAACTCTGTCAGGTAAATAGTCACCCATACGAAGCGCATTCAACAAGTTGAGATGACATTCCAAAAATTTTCCCGCGTAGTTCTTCAGGAAGTGTTGTGCAAAAGCTTTGTTCTCTAGGTTTTTCAATTTTAAATCTCCAAAGCTGAGAAAATAGTAAAAAGTAAAAACTTGAGCAAGAAGACAATAAATACATGTCTGAAAGCCAGCCAAAAACAATTACATTAAAGAAACATCTAAATGATGTGACTGACTACTCACCGGGTATAGAGGCGATTTAATATATGGCCCATCCACTTCTTTACCTTCCACCATCCCCATGAATTGCTACATTTGTGTTGGATTCTTTCTAAGGCTACAGCCTAGTTACAGGACATTCAATGTCAATACATCATCATAAACGATTAATTTAACCATCCAATCTGTACTAATGAAAAATTCACATTTTGAGTATTTTAGGTCAAAATCATGGTTTTGCATTCCACCTCTTGTCAATCTATAACTCAAAATTGAACTTATAACACATGTATAATCATATTATCATTTCATTTATTGTACTTATCATACATATACCTCGAATTTATCAATGAGAATCGGCTTACCTTAATACCACACCATGAATACCACAACTCTTTTCTTCCAATTCAAAGCTTGGTCAAGTGAAAACTGCACAAATGCTGGAAAACAAAACGAAAATTCCTCTGCAATGATGATAGGCTAGGGTTTTAGAAAGAAGAAGAGAGGAAATGTTTTGAGAGAGAGAGAGAGAGAGAGAGAGAGAAATTCAAAATAAGGTATGTATGATTGTGATCTTCAGAGATGAATGTAAACTTCTCTAAACCCATATATCTGGGTGAACCCATATCATCTAGAACTGCAAAACAGAGGAAACGATCATTTTTTCTTCAAGCCCATAATAAGGTTAGTGTATTTTGAAAATACGTTAAGAACAGTACCACAGCTCCGATGCATCCTCCCCTCAGCCTTAAACTCTCTTCTCTCTCTTTCTGCTCGTTTTTTCTTTTCTTTCCCATTTTCTGTTCAGTCTTGCCGCGCACACACACAGACCATCTGGGAAGTAGGACGACAACAACGATGGTGGAGGTGGTAGCCGGCGGTGGCTGGTTTAGGGCTTTTAGAGAATATGGGATATTTTTGTTCAGAGAGAGAAAGTGGAATTGATGAGAATGTAAGCTTCGGTTACTGGATACCAAAATAACCAATGTAAGCTTGAATGAAAGTAGAATTGATGAGAATGTAGAGAGCCCCAAATTGAAACCTTGTCTAGTAGAATCGATTTGAGAGTGAGTGTTAGATTTATTGCTTCCCTTTCCTGGTTCGCTTACCCTTTAGTTACCATAGTCGATCGATTCAAGCTTTCACGAAAAACCCTAGGTAGCAACTCATAGAGACAAGAAGGATGGGGAGAAGGTAGGATTGGATCCGATTTCAAAGAGTAACAATAGATTTCACTGAAAACCCTTTCCCGGTTCGCTTGACCTTTGGTTACCTCAGTCGATCGATTCAAGCTTTCAATAAAAACCCTAGGTAGCGACTGAGAGAGACAAGATGGAAACGAAGGAGCGTCGATAATTAGGGCAAGAGGGAAAGGAAGGAGCGTCGATAACTAGGGCAAGCCGACAGTCACTCTCTGGAGGGGGAAAGAAGGAGAATCGTAATTAGGGCAAGAGGGAAACTGAGAACAAAAGTGGAGGATAAAAAAGAAGCGGGTTCTCAAAAAAATTTGGATTTCATTTTCCTCTAATCTACTAAACGCGCCTTTCATTAAATTTATAAAGCGACACTTCTAGAGGATGCCCACTTAAGATACAGCGCCTACGTGTTTTTAATTTGTTTCTTGATGCTAATTTAAGGGCACGCAATAATACGTGTCCCCTATCATTAAATTTTTTGAAGAGATGACATTTTTCTAATGTCACTCTCTTTTGCGTAACATAAATCAACGAGTGTCATGGTTTACGCATCGTAAAAGAGTGTTTTTCTTGTAGTGGAAAGATGTATTGCAAGAACTGCCTCAGGAGGAGAGACACTATCTGTTTCTGCAGGGCACCAGCACGAC